CTCCTCCAGCACTACACGCTCTCATATGCAGGTCCACAAAACCTTCGAGCTAGCCTCAGAGAATCACAGAATGGCTTGGGCTGGAAGGGACCTTAAAGATCGTCAAACTCCAAACCGCTGCCACTGGCAGGGTTGCCAGCTACTAGATCAGGCTGCCCAGGGCCTCATCCAGCCTGGCCTCGAACACCTCCAGAGGTGAGGCATCCACAACTTCTCTGGGCAACCTGCGCAAACTCAGAGAGCTTCCACACGGGGTTCACTTGGTGCTACATAAAGCCATCTCAGCAGGCTACCCTGCAAAGAAGCACACCACTCATGTTGTGCCGTGAAGCCACCTTGTCTTCCAAGGTCACCATGCACCATTACACTCTGAAAAGTGCCCCTGTGTGCCTTCAACTCGCAGTTCAGCTGCAGGACTATGCTCTGCATTCTCCACAACACACATGCATTTCCCAGGCAGCCCAGCCCAGTGCATCCCACCCCACCTGCCGCTGCAGGACCCAGCCTTCCAGAGCTCTCAGCACCAGCAGGCACAAACGCCAACCAGCAGGACAAATGTGGGCCCCGAGAGGGGATGGCTGAGACAACATAAGGACAGGACCCCACGATCGCAGCCCCCCGAGGAACCAACAGCATGAAGCCTGCCCTGGTACCCGTTGTCAGAGCCAGGCAGCAAGAGCTGAGGCTCCAGGGAAAATCCGTGTTTTTACAGTTTGCTATATTACAGAGCTTTTCTGGTGCCAATTTTGAAAACACTGCCATGACCTCTGGAAAGAAGGAAACCTGCATTTCAGCACAACAATGTAGAAAAGAACAAAAAAGGAAATGTTATTTTTTTTTTTTTAGGTTGAAACACTAGTCAGGTTAAGAAAAAGGAGCAAAATTCTGGCAAGGACAGGAGCACTCAGACCAAGCCACAACACAGTAATTAGGGCCAGTAGGTCATTAGAGCCACAGCTGTACAAGCTAGGTGTATAATTAAGTTTCCACACTGCTTTTTCACAACTGTATTTCAGTTTCTTTTGAGGAGGATGATCAGTAATTCATTAATTTAAAAAAGCAACACCAGCAGCAAAACACCTGAAAATCTATGACTTGCCAATCAGGTGCAACAAAAGATTATAATTTAGGGAAAGGCTAATTTGGGAAATACATTCAAGAGGTCTGTCTTTGTCAAGCAGAAGTCAAGTAGTACAAAGTACTGCCCGATTAAAGCATTGCTGAGATGTGGTCACTTCTTGGCAAACTGCTGTGTATGGTTTCTGGATGAGCATCCCATATATACAGTTGCATGGCAATTATAATTCTTGCAGCAGGTGAAAGACAAGAAAATGCAAAATTATACACTAGCATGAAATAGTTACAATACCTCATTTCAAATGCAAGCCTAGTGTACAAGTTACAGGGCATTTAACAGGAGCAACTGCAAGACTTTAATTATAAACTAGTTCCTACCGTACAGTAGTTTAGAAAAATCAGCCGCTTCCCAGCTGGCAATATCCATATATAGCTCTGCTGCTGTTTGAAACAGACAACCTGTAAAGTTATCAACAACAGAAGAGGACCTCATGAAATGCTCAGAGACCCCAGCGTAACCTACTTCTGTCCAGTTCATTGGTGCACTAATTTGTTTTAAAATACTCTACATTCAGCTGAGAAACCAAAGGAAAAAGGTTTACATGAGGCTATGCTGACCCAGCAGGAGAAAAGGGCTGGCATGGGCGGAGGAAGCAAAAAAAACCACAATAAAAACAGGAGCTAAACCAGACTACCACGTGTGGATTAATGGCAGCTCCCAGGGCTTGTAGCCACTTTTCATCAGACAACAAACAACTCAGCATTGCAAAATAGTTGTTTGATGCATCCACTGAACACCCTCATCTGCAAGTTCACAAGCAATCCTGTACTCTTGTAGATGGTGCTGTGATGAGTCATAACATCTACACTAACACAGTGTGCAAAAACGTACAGAAAGGACTGCATGTAACGCAGGTGGCAATGACTGAGTCTTTTTGAGTGAAGGGAACATGGGAAAGGAGCAAGTTTCAAATTGATTTTAAAAGCTTAACACATCCAGTGTATGCATTGGGTGTTTCTGTCCTTGGAAGATTTTAAAGGTGCTCTCTGTCTCATGCTCAAGAGCACCTTGAGAGTAGGAAAGCAAGTATGCCAGGAATCGGTGAGGACACAAAATGCCCGCTCACCACACATGGTTCCCACTGTGGCCCCTCACAGATCCCTCAGGTACTTGGAGCCCCCAGGCTGCATTTGGGGCACTCAGCATGTGCAAAGGGCACGGAGGCTCCTGATGCTGCCAGGTGAATACCTCCACCAGGCTGGCAACAAAGGAATGCTATACACTTATGCCACCAGACATGTCTAGATATCAGCGGTGTTTTGTCCTCAAAGAAACAAGCCTGAAATGCATGAAAAAGCAAGGGGGGGAAATGGCTGTTTGTTACTTTCTTACATGTCAAAGAAGCTGTGTTCAAACTGTATTATAACTTCAGCCCACTGTAATGAATTTCTAAGGGATTCCGGTGAAATAGATGGTTTATCCTATTCTTTGGAGTGAGCCCCTATAATCCTGCAGCATTCCTGAGCTACAATGCCTTCCTAACTTCAGCATCCCAGAGGAAGTCATTAGTTATGTTGTATTATCAGGCTGGTGATATTATCACTACAAATATTACCTGTATCGATCTGGAGCCATGTAGACACGATTGAACACCCTGCTTCAGATTAAGACATGAAACTCTGGCTTGCCCAGAGGTCAGGCACCGTGTTACAACTTCAGATGTGTCAGGCGGGCATTAGAGACAAAAGAAAACAGGGCAACTCAGGACGCAGCTCATGTGGTGGGGAACATCTCTAAACACACCGCTCTTCCTAGCACTCCTTAGATTCTCATCCTGGTGGTGCAAGTCTTTCCAGGTGAGCTAAACAAAAATGTGTTTTTTAAGTGCTTTGAACAAAACTTCTTGTGGTTATTGAACAAATCAGTGAGTCTGAACTCAAAAGCTGCTTTTCCTCATGGTAAGATATGTAAATGTCGAGCAACATTCCAGATTGTCTTTGTGGAAACATTCTCATTCCAGAATAGATGAATGCAACCTTCACATTAAATAACTTCATGACACTAAATTAAACCAAAGAGAAAACAGGCACTCTTATTCTGGAACAAGCATTTTCTCACATGGAGATAATCAGCACCTACTACGTGTATATGCAGATGATTACACGATGCCTTTTTATGACAAAATGTCTTTGTAAATCATCCACACATGTGAAGACAGTAAAAGATGATTAAGTTATGCTACCTGCAATCAAAAATTAGCAAGGGGAATACTCACAAATTATTCTGATAGATTCCAAAACCAGAATTTATATTTCTTAGTCTCGCTAACAGAACACTACACTGAAGGGAAATAAAAAGGGAGGTGTGAAAACATTCACCATATACACTCAAACCTCTAAGATTGCTGCATTGTAATGCATGTTGGCCATAGGAAGAACAACGGTTCTTTCTGACACCCCGTCCCCCTGTGCAAGCTAGCAGATGGTCCCCTCCTGCCCAGTGCCATGCCCAGCTGTATCGTGGGGATACACAGCACACTGGGTAACTGCAGCCACTCCATGGAAGGATCACCAGTGACTGCACCAACACAACGCAGTGCATCTGTCCCTGTCTTTGGAGAGGACCAGCGTGGGCTGTGCACCTCACATCCTGCTCTGGAAAGTGAGGATTTTTTTGTTCAACAGCATTTCCCTGCCTACTACCCTGCAGTAAAAGTATTGTTTGCAGAAATCTCAGGGCAATCTAGTGGTTGTCAGCTGGCCAAAAATGGATCCTATGAAACAAAGCCTTGCTGGTTTTTGTACTTCCAGATTTGCATCCTGCGCAGTGTGCAACCAAAGCAGGCAGCAAGCAGCCCTGCAGACACAGGTGGGCTGCACCTGGCTCAGGGCAGGGCCGGCTGCAGCCTGCCAGCAGCCCACCCTGCCTGTACACCCTGCCTTGCTCTTGTCTTGGCTTAGCACAGCTCCCCTTATGCCCAAAAAGGAGAACAGAACCTGAACAAATAACCAAACAAATTAGGCAGTCAAGGAGGAATATGCACTCATGGGAACAAGGATGGGATAATACCAGAGTAACCCTCCTGCCCCTGCCAGCCTCAACCTGCCACTGCCAAAGTGGGAACTGGCTAAAAACATCATAGATAGTTTGAGAAAAAAGTTGGCAGAGTACTTGTCTTCAGGAAGGGAAGGATGAGAATTCCTTGTTTACATACCTATCAACATATTCTGCACTCACACTCTTAAGAACTTATTTAGTTTTGTGTAAAATCTGTGAGGTTTTTTGCTACCCCCATCGCTCCCCTCAGCACGCTCTGCAGTCTCCTTGCTACCACTGCCCGTACATGGGGAGCTGTGCGAGGCGAGGCGAGGTGCACAGCCTTTGTTCACTCCACTGCTCTGAGCTTGGTCTTGCTTTGCAACAAGATCAGGGAGGCTAATGCTGCCCTCACCTTCATAAAATTCAAAAGGAAATGAAATGCAACCTAGGAAGAAAGGAGTATTTTTAAGGCGGGATGACAAATCTCAAACTACAAATTTTAATTTCAGAAATTGTCACATTCCATGATGGGGTTCAGAGGCCTTTATTTGTGTAGAGTTTTCCACCTTTCAGCTATGTAACTTTTTAAAATCTTGCTACATTTGGCGAGACAGGGAAAAATACCCTGTCTGAAAATTTTAATGTTTAAAAAAAACATTTTTGTCTATCATAATTACTTACAGATTCCAATTGGAAAGCTGTTGCTTTTATTTTAATTTTATTAAAGGAGTGAACAAAGGCTACCCTAGGCACCACAATAAAATTACATTAACTGTAAAATTACATTATTAATTCTTTAATCTCACTTGAGGCCTCAAGCTGTTGCTATGTCCAATTACCCAGCTAACCACCTGTCAGAACTGCAAAGCGAGTTTAACATTACCTCCAGGACAGTGGTGTGCCCTGTGTTCAGTCAGGTCTGCCAGTGAATCGAAGTCCTGCTGACAGTTATCGCAGGTGTAAATTGACTCATCCTCCATGTCTTCATCTTCCTCATTTCTCTCTTCCTGGCTCGTCACGCTGTTCCTCTCTTCCAGGGCCCGGCTGTCCTTCGTGTCGCTCTCCAGCTCTCCTCCCAGGCCACCTGCCAACAGCAAGGATGCAAGCGAAGGTTTAGAGGGCTGCAAAACAGGAGCCTGATGAGTGACGTCGCACTCATTGACAGACATTTAATTACAGCCGCTCTTGCATTATTGCTGACAACTTTCGTTACATTCATGTGCGTTTCATATCCTGCAGCACAACAATTCTTGACCGTACTCTCTGCTGCCTGGTGCAAACACTCCCAGTCTCCATCACCAGGTGAACAGTGAGAATCTTTGCCTCTACCATAGGTAGTTGCTGGTGTCTCATCACTTCATCAGACTCTCAAAGCTTTAAAAACTGGCAAGACCGCTAACAGAAAAGGTGCTGAGTTTGAATTCCCTATGCTCTCCTCTCCCTGCTGCCACCAAGCCCAATGTCAACGATCTGGGCGATGGGGCTCTGGCCAATGACTCCAGGCCCATGCCCACCCTGTGGCGTGAGACATGAGTGTTCTAGAAGTCATCCTGAAGGACAGGCTCTTGCTGCAAAGTCCCCACACCTGGAGCTGCCGAGGACCCAGGGACAGCTCCTGAGCACAGCATGGAGGCAGCGCCTGGCTGCTTGGTGGTGCCTGGGCTTCATGCCGCTAACAGGAAGACTCGTGTTCCAAAATTAGATCAGGGCCGAATGATTAAGGACAACCAATGCTGAAAACACAAAACAAGACTGAGAAATAAAATTTATTAAAGATGAAAACTGGTTACCACAAACACTGCAGTTCACTACACAGCGCTCGCTGGGCTCTGCTACCACTATCCATCCAGAGCTCAGATGTTATGCCATCTCCTGAACTGCGCGTGACAACGTAAATCAGTCGGTGTAAAATGTTCTGCAGCTTTCCATAGAGCGCTCATAACATGACACACCCTTGCAAATGCAATGGAAGTATTAAAAATCAATGCCTGCTTGTGGTCTATCATAGCATCGCTTTTAGCAATTAACTGATCTGCACATTTTCATGTTCTTTTACTGTTCAATTATACATACCTTTCTACCACAACATTTCCATTAGGGGCTAGATATAATGTTCGTATTAACAAAGCAGACGTGCCACTTATACAGAGGTAATGAATTTAAGGATTTGTTTATAAAAGTCTCACTCACCACACTCTCCACACTCTAAGCCACGAGCTGCACTGTTTATTCAGTAAAATGTTTTCTTTGAACCTCATGCTTTACAGCCTCTTCCTTTAATAAAAGCATATTGTAGTGGGAAAAGACAATTCTGTTCTCCTTACACTACTACCTTGCCAAACAATAAGCTACATTTAAAGCTATGTTAGCTTTCCTTTACTTTACACATAATTTAACATACACATTGAAATAATCACTTCCGCTTTGTCTATTTACTTGGCACCCCTTTTTACTGTCTCTCATCCCAGACTGGAATCACAAACATTACAGCTCAGTCAATCTTGTTAAAGCCTGTATGTCCTGCAGATCTGATAGTTCATAAATCACAACGTCAGCTCTCCAGCTTTGTAAGACAGAAACCTATAAAATAGTGCAAGTATATAAATCTGATCTGAGAACCGCCACCTGAATCTATGCCTCCTGCTGATGGAGCCTCAGAGAAGCACTTCTGAGCCGATTTAGCTACAGCCTGAAGAAGAAAGATTTTAGGCAACCTCGGAGAGGCTTAGGGGACCTTCACTAATATTTTTAGTAGAAATTTTGTCTTTTGACAGTTAACCTAAAGGCCAGCTGATCTGGTGAGCACACTGTGACAAATTCATCCTTGGTTTCTCTCCAAAACGTCATGACTACACTGGGGATAAAGCTGTTAGACTGAGTCCAACAATAACAAATAATTTAACACACTGCTTTAGGAAAAATAAATTGTACAATGTGAGATAAGAAAATAAGATTCCCGACTGCAAAGCAAAATTCCAGAAACATTTTTTAATTCCCTGCTGAATGGGGATCTGATCCTCTAGGCAACTTTTCAAAAGTGTCATTACTTGACATGGCCATATGTCAATAACACAACAATGAATATTGCACAAATTACTTTAAAAACACAACGTTGCTTTAGAACGAGATGTGTTCTGTTTTCAGCACACTGAAGGAATTGTGCACGTTCACCATACCTCAGGGTTGCTGTCCTTGGAATAATATGGCCCTCAGATTCCTCTGCTGAGCCACACGCTTGGAGAAACCACTGAGGTAAATCTGGGGCGTTTCTTGCCTTTTGCACTGAGCCAGTAGAGTTCAGACTCCAGGGCAGCAGCGGGGTGGTGCACAGTGCTGGGAGTGGGCAGCAGTGGGGCCAGGGTTGGGGCCGGCTGGTCCCCAGACAGAGTGAGCCCAGCTGCTCCGCAGTGAGCTCAGCAGCATGGCAGCCGCCTGGGGGTTTGCCTCAGGAGCGAATTCCTGAGGAGTTTTGCAGCAGTAAGTCATGGGTTTAACCTGCAAGATTGCTTTGGGCGAGTGCAGCATGAGCATCCCGCCATGATGGGAAGAGAACACATGTGCCTGGTGATGGTGAGCCCAGCAGAGTGGTGCTGTGGGCAATATCACCGTGGCAGGCAGCACACTGCTGGCACTGGGCACTAGGGTTGTTTTGGCCTAGCTGCAAGAGGACATGTCCTTGTGTCACCGTGCAAAATGGTTTGGGGATGTCCAGAGCCAAGCAGCACCTCCAAAAGTCTCCAGAGAACAGTGGTGATGCTACAGCATCAAGCTTAGATACATACATTTACCAATTTGGCAGATAGCCTTGGAACTTAGTGAACTTATGCAGCAGTATTAGCTTCCATCTAGATCACTAAACAGAGAGCCAGTACTGGTGTGCACCAGCAGAAGGGGCTGCTGGCACCGCGGCTCAGGCATGCAGTCACTGGTTAGTTCTGCATGGGAAAGAGGCCTTGCAATTCACATAAGTGCAATTTAGTAGCAATAGTATTACTAGTATTACTAGTAATACTACTATTAATAGTAATACTATTGCATAGTAGCAATTTTTAAGTGAACCTACCATCTCTAGTAATTGCTTTAACAATTTATGAGTAAGAGATGAAACTATTAAACAGATCAGCCTTGAAAGTACACCTCAGAACTTGGGTTTGAAGGGTTTCTTGTTTTTCTCTTCTTTTTTTCCTGGAACATAGTAAAGGGCTACAGGGCTTTACAGAAGGTGAATGCTTTATGCTGTGACCTTAACAGTCTGGCCAACAGTCAAGAACTACTAAAGTTAATGCTAATGACCCTTGCTTTGTGGTATAAAAAAGCAAGCTTATTTTCTAGAAGGTTACAATTTCAACGGAGATGCATCGATAAATGGGAGTATTCCTGCCTCACCTGGTGGTCCATGGAATGTGGCAGATTTCCAGAGGTGGGGAAGAGATTCTTGAGCATTGGTCTGAAAGGTCTGAAAGGCTGGCAAAAGTGCCTCCCGAGCCATGCCGTTACAGCAACAACATACTTCGAAAGCCAAAGTTTTGAAAACAGACTGCATGTCCCATGCTCATGCCAAGCCCCACCAAAGCTGAAAACAAATCTGCATGCTTTTCCAGCTGGGTCACTCAGGGCCACACATGGCAGGGCTGTGCTGCAGGTGCTAAGACATGGGGATGTACAGCACTGGGCAACACATGGGCCTGGGTAATGAAAGAGGATGCAAACCTCTGGGCTTATTTTTCATCTGTGAAATCCAATATAGCCATCACAACTTTTGTTGCCTTCGCACAGAAGAGGGCAAACAAGGCTTTCTGTGCTTGTGCCAGTAAATTTTCCAGTCTTTATTTCTCTAGAAATCCAAGGACTTCTGGGACATTTTTAATGTCCGGCTCTGAGCACCTCCAGTGGCTGGGCTCCATGGCAAGCAGTTTCCTCACAGCAGGAGAGGCTGCAGGACAGCACTGCAGCCACAGCACTTCATGCCCCGGCCACAGCATGGGCACAGGCATTCCGAGCCAGAAGGAACCCAATGGAGAGGGTACAGAGGCATCACCTCATTCACTTGCCCTGTTACAAAGACACAACCACCAAATGTCCCACAAAGGGCCAGGATAGTTCCTAGCCATTTCCCAGAGGAAATAAAACAAAAGTCCTGAGGAAACAAACTGCTGGAGGGCCAGCAGGGCAGCAAGCAGCTCCTCTGGGCTGGGCGCAGCCAGGCATGGGGAAGGCAAAGGAAATTCCTCCTGTAACTGGGAAGTGAGAACAAAAGAAACAAATGACTTAAAGGAAAAGCCTAATCTAAACATTCGTGTTTCACTCAGTGCCTAATGCCAAGTTAGTGAGGGAGGTTCTCTACTTTTGTGTAGTTTGTTGGCATTTTAGCGTTCTCTCTTGCAGTGTAATGCAGCAAGGAGTCCAAACTTCTCTGTTACATGTGGTCAAAAAAGAATGAACAGCGGCAAAAAAAAGCCATTAATGTTGTAATAACAAAAATGCAAACAAGCCTCAGCTGGAGACTTCCCATAGGATGAAGGCTTTGTGGGGCAGCCCAGCCTATGGCTCCTCAGCAGTTCAGGAACCAACAACACGACACAGCTGCCTCTGGAGCCCAAGGCCATCTGTATGCTGCCTCCCCTTGGGCCACAGCCCCATAAGAGACACTGTAGCCACTGCTCCACAACCATAGCAGTGCCAAAACCCATCTCCAGCCAAGAAAGCCGCCCAGTAACATGCCCACATCCCAGCCCCAGGCCAGGTACCAGAGGCAGCTCGCCGGCAGCGGCAGGGAGAGGAGCGCACCGCCCAAACTGGCGTGATCCGGCTCGTATTAATGGTGCTAGCCTCCTCAGACTTACAACTTAATAAAATTGATCTCGCTGCAGTGCTGTAATGAAGAACAGTGGGATAAGGCTACCCTTGAACCATGAAAATTGTATATTGTTACCTCCTCAGGCCCTCCTAGGGCTCTGGCCGCTGCCACCCCTCCAAGCTGTCATTTGCCTGATGCTGACAGCAGCCGGCACGGGCAGCAGGGCTGGGCTGCCAGGGCTTTGTGCAAAGGCAAGGGAGGAGCCAGAGCATGGTAGCGGCCCGCGA